AAAAGGAGTATTCAGGGTGACTCCACGGCTGCAGACTGAGTGCTGCAAGAATGGAGGTGGCTTTGCTGAGCCGTGGAAAATCGGAGGAGGAGAGGTTTACGAGGGAGCAGTAGGAGTTGTGCTGGGGAGATTTTAAGTTTCACGTGTCTGCTGAGTGTTCAGATGGAGAGTTTGGGTCTCGGTTGGATATGGACGTGGGGACGTGGGGGGAGAGCCTGGGCTTGCTGTAAACTGGAGAACTGCCGGCTGGTATTAAAGCCACAAGACTGGATGAGATCTCATAGGATCAGGTGTGGGCAGAGAAGGGAGGTCCGAGGACTGAAGTTAGGAGGTCAGGAGACAGAATCTACACATATGGAGACCAAAATGGGAGTCCAGAGAAGTAGGAGGAAAATCAGGAGAGACTGGGGGGACTTGAAGCCAGGGGAAGAAAGTGTTTGAGGGGGGAGAAGCAGTTCCCAGACGCTGCGATAGGCGTAGCAGCAGGGGACTGAACTCTCAACCTGCAGTCTGGACACTTGGTGACGTGGTCGGAAAGTGCAGTGGAGGAGCGGGGAGGACCGTGTGCAGTGGAGGAGCGGGGAGGACTGTGTGCAGTGGAGGAGCGGGGAGGACCGTGTGCAGTGGAGGAGCGGGGAGGACTGTGTGCAGAGAAGGAGCAGGGAGGACTTTGTGCAGTGGAGGAGCGGGGAGGACCGTGTGCAGAGGAAAACGGCAGGGTAGGAGCTGCAGGCAGTGAGCAGAGACAGCTCTTCCACGGAGTGTTGCTGCAGAGAGGCAGGGAAATGGGACAGTGGGTGGGTGGTCAGACTGACCAGTGAGCCCTTACTGGGCGTGTGATTGTGAGCGCGTGTGCTCACCTCCCAGTCCCTCAGTTTCCTCATTTGTCAGATGGAGAAAAGCATATGATTCTAAGGACTGAGTGGTTAGCGTATATAAAATACTTAGAAGAGTACTTGTCACTTAATGTTTATCTCTTGCTATATAAACATATAACCCCAGACGTAGTAGCTTTAAACAACACATTCATTATTTCATTGTTTTTGTAGATCAGGCCACCTAGCATGGCTTATTTGGGTCCCTGCTTCAGAGTCTGACAGGCTGCGTCAGGGTGTCAGCCGGGACTGGGTTCTCATCTGAAGTTGTGACTGGGGAAGGATTGTCCCCGAGCTTCTGTGGTTGGCATCATTCAGCCCCCTGGGGTTGTTGGACCGAGGGCCTAAATGCCCAGCTGCCTGTTGGCCGGCGCGTACCCTTAGCTTCCTGCCACACAGGCCTCTCCACGTGGCAGCTCACTTACTTCATCAGAGCAAACCGGGAAGCCAGTGAAGTCACACCCTTACGTAACCGAAGTCACGTCCCAGCACGTTTGCCATATTGTACTGGTTAGAAGCAAGTCACAGGTCCCATTCTCACTCAAGGATCCATTACACAACGGTGTGACTATCGGGGTGGGGTCATTGGGGGCTGACCTAGAGTCTTCTGCCGCATTTAGTAAGCTCTCAGTGTGCGTATCATTTTGCTGATGGGGGAACAAGTAAGTAGAGAAGGGGGTGGAGGAGAGAAGGTAGAGTTGAAGGAAAGATGTTTAGACTCGGAAAGAAATTCGTGCACAAGTGGAGGGATTGGCCGTAATGGATCTCCCGCTTTAAGAGGGGATCGCAGAGTAAGGCCCCACCTAGGCTCGGTGGTGAATGTCAAGGTGGTTTTCTTTCACTGAGGAAAGAGCGTTGCCTTTGCTCAGTGCAAGAGGCAGTCAGGTTGTCAGCCCAGAGGGAGGAGGAGGGAAGCGGGGTGACAGGTGAGGAGCGCGCGGCTCGTCTGCAGCGAGCGAATCCACTGGGGAGCTGGAGTCACCCTGCTGAGCACCTGAACGGCTTACACCATGTTAGTAGCTGCATGTTTCAAGTGAGACCATTTAGCATGATTGTGAATTTCTCTTCAGCTGCTCAGTTGCAAGTGTGGAAGAAGAGGAGGAATACAATCAAATCAAATAATGGAGATAAATAAATTAATAAAATAAGCGGTAGTACTGATTGGCTTTAAGTTCTGCCAGGCCAGGGTGATGGAGGGAGTGGTCATAACGACGGGCTGTGACACGTAGGTCCTTTACAGAGAGAAGGGAGGGCGTGAGCAGCTCGGGCACCGTGTAAAGACAGAGTAGTGATTTCAAGGGATGGAAGAACTAATTGTTGGAGTCCAAGTTCTGAGGACAGAGCCAGGAAGTTAGGAGATGGTGGGCAGAACGGTTACTCAAAATACAGACTGCAGAAGGGATACTGTTACTGAGAAAGTCCTGGGGTACCTACATATAGGGCTCATTTGAACAGTAACTTGGAATATGGTGGAAAAAAACACTCTTTTCCCCTGAGGACTTTATTAGGGCATGTGGCTTGCAGTTGATTGGTAGAGTAAGCTGCTGTCTGCACGAGGTACTTTTCTCTTTGCATTAGAGTAATTGACACCAAGGTTCCCTGGAGTTAAAAATCAAAGACAGAGCAAGAACCAGAAGCTGACTTGTTAGGCACTATTTCAAGATGGAGACCATAGGTGATGATTTACATGGTCCGGGGAGCCGCGGGTGTATCTGATGTTGTAGCAGGATTTGTGCAGATCAGCTTCCGATCATGTAATTTCGTTCTGACAGAGAATGTTGTGGACATCTGCTCCTTTGCCTAAGCGGCACCCACTTCCTCTGACGCTGTAACAGCACCCTGATTTTACTTTGTGGAAACCTCGGCTCCCCCTTTTCAGTCTGTGTGACTTAATGGTGTTGACTACAGCTCCCCAAAGGAGCGGTCAGCGAAGGGGCCTCACCTCTGGGTTCAGTGATAGGCCCAAGGAAGGACATGACCTACTCAGCCGTGAAAGACCCCACATTTTTGCTGGGGGCTTCTGAGAAGGGGACTCTTTCTCTTCAGGACCTGCTTCAGCCATCTTCCTACTCCAGGGGGAGGCTGTCAAAGAATTGAGTCAGCGGAGGGGAGAGGTAAGAGATGGAGAAAGCCCTGGGACGTTTGCGTCCTTAATCAAGCCACCTTAAAGCTGCCTCTGGAGTGTTCAGTTACTTAGGTCAGTGAATCCTCTGTATGTTTCTGTGGGTTTTCTTTGCACCCATGATCAAAGGAGACCTAATAGGTAGAAACACTTCTCATAAGCTAGCCTGGTCCTCTGAGCTTGTATGAAGAAGTGGATCGGAGTGCAGTGTAGTGGAAATTTTGCTAAGATGTGGAATCATCAGAGCCTTCTTCCCCTGACATCTTTTCCATACTCTTCTTCAGTGGGTGTGGAGGGGAGCCGCAGACCAACCTGGAGTGAAGCTCTGTGCCTGACACTGCCATCCATGTAGTTTCAACCCTCTGAGCCGCAGTTTTCTTTTTTTTTATTTTATTGTTAGTTTCAGGTGTACAGAACAATGCAATAGTTACCCTTTTCACCCTCACAGAGTAACAACCCCCCTCTCCCCATCTATTGCCCTCCCCCCATATCATGCTTATCTATTACAATTCCATTGACTCCATTCCCACTCTCTACTCCACGTCCCGTGACTATATGAATATATAATTATAGTTGACATACAATATTATTCAACATCTGCTTCAATACAGTGCGGTGGTCAGGCCTCTACACCGACTATGAAGTGGACTCCATAACAAGACGTGAGTCCATCTGGCGCCCTAAAAAATATTTACAACATTGTTGATTATATTCCCCAGACTGTCTTGTGAGCCTCAGTTTTCCTATCTATAGGATGAGGTGAAGGATAGCGGCTTTTGTGGGGTGATTGGAGGATTAATTGGGATAATGGACGTAAAGTGTCTAGCTTGGTGCCTGACGCTTTGGCTTCTTTCCCCCTTCCTCTTTCCTAAGCTCTGATGCTGTCTGACACGTAGTACTTGTTCATTAAATTTTATTGTAAAGAATGCATATGTGATTGAACAAATACCAGTAGGGTTTGACCTTTTTACTCCTCAATTTTTACTGTATCCAAAGCACTGCGATTTGTTTGACTAGTAGTCAGGTGGTTCTTTTTGCAAATGAACTCTTGCTGTATGGATTTTCCTTTCCAGCTTTCGAGGCTCCCTGTGACTCACTGATACACTCACGTTCGTGTTATCACTCCGAGACTATTGTGGGAGATGAGGATGACCCTCACGCTCACTGAGCACTTGCTTTCTGTAAGGCGCTCTGCTTCGTGCTTTATGTGCAGTAGCTCACTCACTCCTCACGATAGCATAGCCATAAAGGCATGTGATGACTCCAGAGTTCAGACTCCTTGGAAAAAATGAGGTGAGGTACGTAGTAGGGATTCAACATGTATTCCCGTACCCTTCTGACTGCGTGTATCCAGGTACAGACACAACATAGTGGACTGGTTACGTAGGTGCCGGAACCAGACTGCCTGGCTTTGAATCCTGGCTCCATCTTTTGCTACTTATATAACATTGGCTAAATTATATATATAACCCCTAGGTGCCCCAGATCCATCATCTATAAAATGGGGATAGTCAACAGTATTTACCTCATAAAGATATGAGGATTAAATGCATAAATGTGTGGAAAGTGCTTATAACAGTGTCAGGAAAGTAGTAGTATATAAATTGTAGCTATTTAAGAATTTCTTGTCTTTCAGCAGATGCTTCATGGTAGTCAGTTACAATCCCATGCATAGTAAAACTTAACTTTTAAAATCATCTTAAACTCACTGGTGTCTCTCTATAATACGATCAGTGTTATGCTCCTCTGAGAAGCCTTTCCTGGTAGCCTTTCTCATCTCTGAACCTCTGGTGTCACCAGCGTGGCTGACTGACTCATGAGAGCTAAAGTCATTTCTTGCATATCTTCGTTTCCTTCAGGGTGCAGAACATGTAAGGAGAGCTTGATACTTAATGGTCATTTGTTACAGCCAGAAAGTCAGATTGAAGCAGATATCATTTTATGTTTAAAAAGGTTTGTTAATGCGCAAAACATAGTCTTATTAGTATTTTACTTTGTTCCAGGTTCCTAAATATTTGTCACAGCAGTGGGCGAAAGCCCCTGGCAGAGGTGAAGTTGGGAAACTGCGGATTGCCAAGTAAGTAATTTATATAGTTTTCACTTTTTAAAAAGCTGTTTTAAAAAATTGTACAAGTGCTTTTAAGTGCAATTACAGTTCTTTTTCAGATAATTTCCCTGGAAAATAAGAAGTAATGAGCATGTCAAGGCTTGTCAAGATGTGGTAGGTGCCCTGTGGGGACTCATGTGCACACGTGCACACACACGCACGCCCCCCACCCCTCTACTGACAGCTGTAAATATAAAGTCAGATTTATTGGTAAAACTTCCTGGCAGTGAAGCCGCAGCGTATGTAGTTCCCTCGTCTGCATTCTCTCCACATCTTGTTCGGAGGTGCGATTGCGTTGGCATAGCTGGATGTACCCAGTGAAGTGCTTCATTGTGCTGCTGTATCTATTGGGTTGTCGGAAAAGTCATGACGCATTTTTGCAACAGAAAACAGAAAAAAATACGTCATGACTTTTCCGACAACCTAATATTTGTAGAGGCATTGGAAGAAGCTTGGGAAACCTGGTGAACGGTTTCCTGGTGGAGGAAATGGCCTTGTTAAAAAGGGAAGCCACCAAAGCTCAGGCAGTGTCAGCCAGAAGCCTTCTGTTCTATTCTGTCTGTCCCTTCATTCTTAATCCAACACCAACCAGATTTCCATGCTGCTACTCCGTTGAAATAGCTCTTGTCTGTCACCATTATCCTCCTCTTTATCCATTAGCTTTTGCTTCATAACAAACCACCCCAACATTTAGAACAGAAACCATCTTTTTTGCTTATAATTCCAAGGGGCAGCTCTGGTTGGGGCTGGCCTGGCTGGTCTTCCTGGCTAGAGTGACCTCACTCATGTGTCTGGTGGTCAGTCGGCTTGCGGTCAGCTGGGGCAGTGGCCATGTGTGTTTCATCTCCAGCATGCTCATTCGCGCCATGGTGAAAGGATTTCTGGTAGCAGGAGAGAGGGGCGGCCCCAGCGCACAAGCACTTTGCCAACCTGTGCTTGGGTCTTGTTTGCCAAAGCCCTGCTGGCCAATGGGACTCACATGGCCAAGCCCAGATTCAAGGGCGGAGGAATAGGCTCCACCTCTTGGTAGGAGTCGCTATAAAGAATTGGTGGCCCGTTTTTGCCATCTCCCACACCCACATTCGTAAGTCTGAGAGGCGGCCAGCAGCCCTGTTCAGTGACCTTCAGCAGAACTGATCGTGGTTGATCACGTCCATCTTCAGACCCTTTTTCCGCTTCACTTCCTGTTCGCCACACTCTTGACTCACTCCCCTGCCCTCTGGTGTCCGTCTTCAGCCTGTGTTGCTGGCTCGCTCAGCTTCTCAGTCTCTCGGTGTTGCATGGCCCTAGCGCTGAGCTTTTCGTTCCTTTCTTCTGTCGCTTTGACTGACTTCCTGTGTGGTCTTATCTGGTTTCACAGCGTATCTGGTTGTATTTAAAGATAGCTCAAGTGTGGCCTCTCCCTTGATGTTTTTACTTGGATGTCTCAGAAGCATCTCAAACTCAACAGTTGCTCTTCCTCTCCTCCTCCTTTCTGGAACACTCTTCCTCTGGATAGCCCCATGGCTCGTGCTCAAATATCAGCGCAGCGAGGCCTTTTCTGACCACCCTATATAAAACAGCACCCAGTACTGTCTATTTCCCATACTCACCTTTTTTCCCTGTAGTACTTACCACCATTCTTTCATGCAGTTGGTAAACACGTAGTCAGCTTCCACAGCGCCCACCTGCCATCCTGTGTGTTGGTGTGTTTGTGTGCATCTCCCCTGCTAGAGTGCAAGCCCCACAGGGTCAGGGTTTTGTCTGAGGAACTGCTGTGTCTTCAGGGGCCAGAACAGTTCCTCATATACTAGGCAGGCATCAGTAGATTTTTGTTGAATCAGTGAATGAAAATTGCTATGGCAAATTTAGTAATAGTTGCTATTTTATTCTTTTATTTCCTTAGACAGTAGTTCCAAAAGTGAGAGAGTTAGAAAACCAGACTATGAACATTTTTAAGGCTTAAAATTTTCCTGTTTGTTCTCACAAAGTATAGAACCTAGATCTTTTTTTGCCTGAAATGCCCACTGTCTCTGCAAGGGTTATACCTTGAGGGGAGGGTGGAGTATCATTTTAAAGTTTCCTCATTATAGCCAGTCAGCTGTGGAGTTTGGATTTGGTGCACACCCTCTGGATTTGGCTCTTTGGAGGAGCAGTGCTGTATTTTTGGATGATGTCATGTCTTTAAGAAACTTTGAGGATTGGTCGAGTGGCTCAGTTGGTTAAGAGTTAGCTTAAGAGCACACGCTCTGAGCAACAGGGCCGCTGGTTCGATTCCCACATGGGCCAGTGAGCTGCACCCAAGCTGAGCTGCTGCTGAGCTGCCAACAGGTGGCAGGATGGCTCAGCTGGTGAGAACACGTGCTCCTAATAACAAGACTGCCTGTTCGATGGTGGACTATGCCAGCCCGCAACTAAGACTTGAACTGAGCACCTTGAGCTGAGCTGCTACCCAGATGGCTCAGTGGATAGAGCATGCGCTCTTAACAACAAGGCTGCTGCATGGGATGGTGGCTATGCCTATCCACAACTAAGACTGAACTCGGCACCTTGAGCTGAACTGCTGTCCGGATGGCTCAGTGGATAGAGCACGCACTCTTAACAACAAGGCTGCTGGTTCAACTCCCGCATGGGATGGTGGCTACGCCCACGTGCAACTGAGATTGAACAGCACCTTGAGCTTAGAGGCCACGAGCTGCCGATGGGCAGCCAGATGGTGACTGGCGCCCTCCACAGCTAAGATTGAAGAACAACAATTTGGCTGGTCCCCCTCCCCAATTCCCCAATTAAAAAAAAAAGAGAGAGAGAAACTTTGACACTTTCAAGTGTTTATGCCCTAAGTATTTTGTTCTTTATCTTACTTGCCTTTGTTTAGGACATATCTTTTAACTCCTCATTTTGTTTAACAAAATATGGATTGGAAACAGGCATGCTTTTATTTTCCGAGTTCTTAAAGGTAGGTAGGGACAAATAATACATCATTTTTTCAAGAAACGACTATACATTTTGTAGTGGAACCAGGCTTGAATTCAAGCCTTTGAGTGGTAAGAAAACTCCAGTAGGTTCTAGTTCCGGCTCTGTCACATCAGGTTGCTTGTTTCACAGGACTTTTATATGAATTTAGTGAGATAATATGGAAATAGTTGTCACTTATTTATTTGTGTATTTGACTTTATAAAATGAACACATTCCTGGAAAGTTGTAGATAAGTCACATTTTTTGTGAGTTGTCCTACTTTTATTGAAAAAACAAAAGGAATGTATACTTCTAATTGAAAGCTGTGGTGATCTCTTTTCTTTTTCAGCGTGGACTCCTTTGTAATGCAGATAATACCTGCTTTTTCTTTTATGAGCTCAGGACTTCTTGTAACTGGTTTTCCTAGAAATGTGGGCCACACGCTCTAATCTCAGAAATGTGTGTCCCTGAAGAAAGGCCGGCTACTGAAAAAATGTACGTTATGATGAAGCGAGTGGCACGTAGAGTGACCACACTGACCGAGCTCAGGATGGGGCCGCAGTCCTGAGTGGCTGTGGATAGTTGTTTTGCCCTTGGAACTGAGCTTCCTAAGTCTGAGCTTTCTCGTTTGTAAACTGTGGATACTAGTGCCTTCCCAGCCCGTAGGGTGTTTAGGAGACAAATGAAATAGCTCAGGTTTGTTAAAATGCTTTGGAAACTCCAGTGTTCTCCTTTTGCTACCGTGACTGTTGCTGTTGCATTCCTGAAAACCTCTGTGTAAAGAACATGCCTGCTTGAGGAATGTAACACCTTGTGGTGTGGGGAGGAGAGGGCTCTAATGAGACATAGAGAAAGAAGAACAGCGTTCAGGGAAAGCTAGGCAAACCCCAAGGACTACTTTGACCCCTAAAGTAAAATAGTAAGGTTAGCATGCTAAATATGCAACAATGGGTGTGCTGCAGTTTTTCTTTATCACCTGTTGCCTGATAGAAAATTTCCAAGTTGTTTTTCTCCCTCGGTTTAAAGTAGATGGTTTATGTAGTTGCATCTCATTTACATGGGATGACCATACCCCCAGGTTTGCCTGGAACAGTCCCCGTTTGCACGATTTCCTTGTGTAATTATTAATTGTGTCCCCTGTTTCACCCGACGGAGTGTCCTGGTTTTGACAATAAACTATATTTTTGTCCTTAATATTAGTGCGTGTGTGTGTGTGTGTGTTATTCCATGTGACACTAGTCTGATTTAATGAGCTGGCATTGCTGACCCCTCTGGGGACCCAACCAAAGCCTCATACACACAGAATATTTTGTGTGTTTTATTATATAAGCGATGAATGCTTGTTTCTTTTTAAAAGTTACTGATGTGCGGAACAAAAAAAAAAGTTATCTGTTTTTCCACTCCTTAGTGGTGGCTAGGGGTAACAGTTTGGTATGTACCCCCCAGATTACTCTACAAATGGATTATTACAATGCTTGATATGAACAAAGTTTTAAACATCTGGATCTGTTCTACTGACCATAGCCAAGTGCGTCTCACACATTCCGGCTCAGTTTCAGAGCGCACACAGAACTCTGATTTCACCCTCTTTTTTCCCTCTTACATTTGGTTCTAAGGCTTTGGTTGATTCTGCTCCACGTTTCTTTCTCTCTTCCTTAGGGTACATGGCCAGTGCTTCTGTTCCTTGTTTTCCTCATTCCAGTCTCTCAGTTCTCTTAAATGTGAAAACGCTCAGTAGAGGTGACTTGAAATCCCTGTATTCATATCAGTTTCCTTAAACGGCAGTTGAGGAAAAAGTAAACCACCAGAATTTCTTAAGAAAATCTTTTGGCTGAAGAGGGGTTTCTGTGTCAATATAAGAGGCCTGACACACAGAGAGAGAGAGAGAGAGAAAGAGAGAGAGAGAGAGAGAGGTTGGTTTATGTGTAGATGGAAGGTCTAGCAGGTGTTCGACCTAACGTTACATAAACACCTTGTCTTACAGAAGATCCTTTTAATCGATGAGAACAGATTTATAGTAATTGTAAGGTTGCTGT